CCCGGGTTTACATACCTGGAGTACTGGGCTGTTCTGCCCGGCTCTTGCTGCCGCGTGAGGCAACATTTATTTAAACAGAGGGGACTGAAGAGGCTTGTTTGTTTACTTATTTTTAGGTATTTTCTTCTTGTATGACTTCTAAAGGGCTGGAGTTTATTGTGTGTGAAATGCAGGAAGAGTCTAAATGAACACCAGATGAGAGGAAATAGGCTGGGGAAAATTAGGGCTATTTGCTACCAAAGGAAGCARTCATTGTACATATATTAAATTCCGATCTTTAACTGAGAGTGCGTATTGTTATGCAGGAAATGTGGCTGTAGAATACCCAGGGGGTAGGCGGGGGCTTCCCAGAGCTGGGCTGCCGAGGTGCTAAGCGGGGCTTCCGTGGACTCGTGGTACTCGGGCTGTGAGACATCAGGCAGCCTGCGCTGCGCCGGGGGCGTTGGTGGCTGCAGAGAGGGCTCCTTGCACTACTCTTGTGGCTCTGTGCAAGGGTAAACGTGAACTTTGCACATCTGTTACCTGCAGCTAACACTCAGGATGATCATAATGACAATATAGATTCCTTAACCTTTTYTTCCTGCCACGTTCTCCGCTCATCCATCATTACAGATGCCCGCCTCCCCTTTGCTTACTACTTACCTYTAACTCATTGCTGAAACTGCTTCCTGAGGAGACAATGTCCATCTTCAGTGGAGCCAGCGGTTCCCTTACAGTCCCCATAGCTGTCCCGGCAAGGTGAATACTTAAATCCTTGCAGCACGGACAGGACTGCTTGTCTTTCCTGCGCTGTCCTTGCACACACTGGCAACAGGGTGGGTGTCCCGATTCATTTGCTAGGGAAAAGATGGGCTCAAAAGTTGATTTTATTTTTTTCCGGGGGAGAAATTGTAGCCTTAGGGCATATTGCCCTGACAGGTTGGGATTACGGGACGAGGCAACCTACACAGCTTCCTTTCCCACCTCCCTCCCGGCAAGCAAAATGAAGCACCTCTGATTGGAAGTGGCTATCACTATTTTGGTGTTTGTCTGGCGGAAGACCACCAAGGTGACCAAGAAGGACCTGTTACGGACTGTGCTTTGCATTTTCCTTTGGGGACACTTGAAAGTTCAGTGAAGAACCGGTAGAAATAAAATATTATCATCTTTTAGCTGTGTGGGAGAGAAGCAGTTCATAGCGGCAGCGAGCAGGGGCCTGCGCAGTCAAGTAGGCAGCTCTTAGCGGGCTTTAGAGACCAGCAGTGGGAAGCAAGGAGGATGGATGARATAGGAATGTAGGAGGGAAGAGATGAAGAGGGAAAATAGCATCATATTTAGAATCTATCACATTCTCAGAGTTACATGGACTGGTAATTAGCAAAAGGGAATTTTTCTTTGGAGGAAGAAGGGTTTCATTTCCCCTTTATTAGCTGAGGAGCCCATCCGACAAGGATTAGAGCAGGGTCTTACTCRAGGGGGGTGGTTCAGACACTCGGATCTGCAAGCAGGAGATATTTTTACCCCAACTCTGCTCAGTGACAGCATTTGTAGTGTGGCCCTGCAGAAAATTGTACTGGCAAGACTAGGGATGCACCATGGAGTGAACAAGGGATCCGGGGTGGGAATTCTGTCCAGTATCACTGCTGATCCTCCGTATTGTGCCAATGTAAGTGACCAGCTGTGTCAGTACTGCTGTGATCTTTCCCTTAGACAAAGCCATGCAGCAGGATGTGGCTCGGGGAGATCCTGGGGGACTGTCACCTTGCAACTGCCACGGGGAGAGCGCAGGGAACGGTGGAGATGCAACCCAGGCAGCTCCATCTCCATGGAAGGAAGAACTSCTGCACTGTGAGGGTGCCCGAGCCCTGGCACAGGCTGCCCGGGGAGGCTCCTGCTCTGGAGAGTTCCCAAACCTGCCTGGATGTGACCGGGTGCCCCATGCTCAGGGTATCCCTGCTGAAGCAGGGGCTGGGCTGGATGATCCCTAGAGGTCCCTTCCAACCTCAACTGTTCTTTGAACTTCGGCTTCTGTTTTAATTTGTCGTCCCAGGGGTCCCATCAGGCCCCCTGAGGGACATGTGGGAGCAGAGCCACCAGAGCAGTAGTGCTGCTCTACCCAGCTTCACATGGGAAGAAGATGAAGACAGATAAGTTAGTAAATAAACCCCCTGAGGGACATGTGGGAGCAGAGCCACCAGAGCAGTAGTGCTGCTCTACCCAGCTTCACATGGGAAGAAGATGAAGACAGATAAGTTAGTAAATAAAACATTAGATAAGTTAGTAAATAAAACATTCGTTTTCTTACTTGAGCTTGTTAACTCCAGGAAGGCCAGTGAGACTCAGCACTGAATGACTAAAAGGGGGTTGCTTGGGTTTTTTATGAGGCAGTGTTGAGTGGAACCATCTGGGCTAGGAGAAGACCACGCTTCTGAAATRAGGAATTTAGGAGCCTTTAGGAATACTTGAGCTAAGGAGCTGTCTGGGGCACCATGCTGAAAGGAAGGGCGCTTATTGCCGCGTGTATTTAATGAGTTTATTTTATCTCTGATGACAAAGAGAAGTTACTAGTCATGTGGTTGCTCATAAATTTCAAGCTCTTGCTGACAAGTGTCCCCGCCTGCGTTCCCAACCCGCGGGCACCAACCCGGGGGGCATCCCAGCTCAGCCGCTGGACCATTTGGTTGCACCTCAGCACTGCTTGTTTGTACCCCAGTCCCTTCTGTGTGTGTTTTAGTTTAGGAGCTTCTGGGGCAGCTTCCCCAGGTGCCGGCTTCCAAAGACATATCTTGTTTTTATGCCAGGAGGCCTTTCAAGCCTTTGATAAAGAGCTGGAAAGTGCGTATCAAATTCAGTGTAATTTCAAGAAAATGTAATCTATTTTATTATCCTTTCCACTCACTAAARTGAATCTTAGAGAAATCACTCATGGTAAAACATTTGCTGGTGCATCACCTCAAATAAAATAATAGCTTTTKTAGTTCATGTGTGAAGAAAGAGATTCTTGCTCCTTAGCCTTTTTCCAGCCCATGTCCTGTTGATGCTGTCTCTGTTTCAATGMACCCTGCAAGCTTCACACACTATTTATTAATTAGATTTACTAATAGCCTCCTAAAGTGCAAAGAGAGAGAGAAAAGATGGACTGGACTTTTGCTTTCAGCGGGGAGATGAGTGCCAGCTCTGCCACTTGACCATCCATTTGATTTTTTGCATGTTATTTAACATTCTGGCTCTCCTGCCTATAAAATGCAGACGCTAATTCTTCTTTCTTTCCCTATCTGTACTCACGCAGACTGCAAGTTTGGACAGGAATGTCCTGTGTCTTTGGATGCCTGTCAAATGAGTCTCTGGTTTTAGGTGAAACTTTAGATGCTTCTCTAAGCCACATAAATATGTGGCTTGAATGTGTTTCAGGAAAGAAATATAACCTTTGGATTACACCGATGTAAATAAAATGTCCACTGCAGTTCACAGGTCCAGAAATGTTGGTAGTGTTTACCGTCAGCATCTGTCACTTGAACATCTGGCGTTCGTCATTGCTTTCCTGTTCCTTCCACTGTCACATTTTATCTCCAGCTGCTAGAGGTTCCTTAGCACTGTCTGTATAAATCCGAGCTGCATCCCAGGCCGGGGAGTTGAGTCGTTACTGCAGGCTGCGATGCAAGTGATGGAGGAAGAGGTGCGTTTAAGGGAGCTGTTCCTCTCTGCTCCCTCCACCCTGCCCTCTCCCTGGGGACAGGCAACACACTAGGCTAGACACTCTATACGTACATCTGTGTCAAGGCACTCTATATGTACAACTGTGTCAAGACACTCTATACATACAGCCCACGCTTGGCACTCTGCAGCCTCCCGGGCAGAGCAGCAAGCCAGAGCCACGTGGCAAAGGTCGCAGAATCACAGGATGTTCAAGGTTGGAAGGGATCTCTAGAGATCATCTAGTCCAACCGTCCTGCTCCAGCAGGGACACCCAGAGCACGGGGCACCTGCTCCATCCCGGCGGGTTYGGAAGACCTCCAGAGCAGGAGCCTCCCCAGCCTCCCTGGGCAGCCTGTTCCAGGGCTCTGGCACCCTCAAAGTGCAGAAGTTCCTCCTCACCTGGAGATGGAGCTGCCTGGGTTTCAACTTACACCCACTGCCCCGTGTCCTGTCACCGGCCACCAAAGACAAGAGCTTGACCCCTTCCTCCCTACATTCTTCCTTCATGTATTTATACATGTTAATCAAAGGTGCCTTTTTCATGGGGAAATGATCCCGGTGTCACCCCACAGACGGAGCCTCTTCCTGTCTGTGCTGACCCCTCAAAACTGGATGCTCCTGCACAAGGTCRTGCAGCCGCAGGAGCTTGGAGCACATGAGGATCCTACTTCCCAGCTACTTCAGCAACTGGAAAACGTATTTCCTTGTCCTGGGAATATTCTGAGGCTCCGCAGCGCTAAGCTATTATAAGGGGATGAAGGAGAAGGGCTCCTTCCCCTCTAGGTGCCTGGAGAGAGCTGTTGGAGGCTGCTGCTCTCATCATTCCCAGGGCTTCATCGTGGGCACTTGGGGCAGCAAAGAGGTCCCCTGTCACTCTGTACGTTGCGCCTCRTAGTCTTCCCTTTCTACTCTTTTCAGTCTCATACATGGGAAGAAGTTTTGTATTTGAATCGATCATGCATCAGCTGAACTAAGAACCAGCTATTGCTGATCGTTCTTATCTCGTGCCTTCTCTTGCTGAGTAGAGCAGTTGAACTCGGAGGGTTTGTTCTGGCATCGCAGCCTGTTGCTAGAAAGGGATGTCCTAGTGAAAGAGTTATTAGCTGGTGTGACTACAACGGGGGCAGTGAGTAACAGAATCACGGGTCAAACGTTGCACAAACGACTTAGCACTAGAAATTCCAATTATTTTCTTATAATCCAAGAGTGGACGCTGCAGTGTTGGTTTTCTCTTGTTCTTGTGGTGCCTGCTGCAGACCTCAGCTTGCCAAGTATCTCTCTTGCTACTAGCAGCATAATGATTTTATTTTCTCTTCTTCTTGTAGGAAGTTTTACTACATCACCCTGCTGAGAGACCCCGTATCTCGTTACCTCAGCGAATGGCGTCACGTCCAACGAGGAGCTACTTGGAAGACCTCCTTGCACATGTGTGACGGCAGRACCCCAACGCCCGAAGAGCTGCCGTCGTGCTACGAGGGCACGGACTGGTCGGGCTGCACGCTGCAGGAGTTCATGGATTGCCCGTATAACTTGGCCAACAACCGCCAGGTGAGGATGTTGGCCGACTTGAGCTTGGTGGGCTGCTACAACATGTCTTTCATCCCGGAGAACAAGCGAGCGCAGATCCTGCTGGAGAGCGCAAAAAAGAACCTCAAAGACATGGCCTTCTTCGGCCTCACAGAGTTCCAGAGAAAGACTCAGTACCTCTTTGAGAGAACTTTTAACCTGAAATTCATCCGGCCCTTTATGCAGTACAACAGCACGCGGGCCGGCGGCGTGGAGGTGGACAACGACACCATCCGGCGCATCGAGGAGCTCAATGACTTGGACATGCAGCTCTATGACTATGCAAAGGACCTCTTCCAGCAGCGCTACCAGTACAAGCGGCAGCTGGAGAGGATGGAGCAGAGGATAAAGAATCGGGAAGAGAGGCTTCTTCACCGGTCCAATGAAGCACTTCCCAAGGAAGAGACCGAGGAGCAAGGACGCTTGCCCACTGAGGACTACATGAGCCATATTATAGAGAAGTGGTAGCCTAGGCAGACTTTTATATTAATGAGATTCTAGGGTTTCCATATAAGAGATCGTGGAAGTAAAATTAAAAAAAAAAAAAAAAAAAAACCACAACAAAAAGTATTTTATTTAAAAGCAAGTCTGTAAAACAGAAGATAGATTGCTTCCTGAAGCATAGGACCTTTTTACTGTTTCTTACAAGACCAATGAGATTCTTAAAAAAATAAATAAATGCATAAAAATAGAAAAGGGTCAACGTTATGATGCAGAAGTGAAAAATGCACAAATGCAGTTAACCACTCTTAAGGCCAAATACAAAAGAACATTTCCTATCCTCCCGATTCAGACATAAGTGACAGAAGTAGGATTCTTTTTTTTAAATCTGTTTATCCCCTGAGCATAATGATATGAAGATGAATAATTAAAGAAAAGAAAAAGGGAGGTTTTCTTCTGCGGCTATTTTTGGAGGTGGGCTGGATATTGTACTGTTTGTCTGTAAATGGTAACAGTGACTAAGCTGAGGATGTGCTATTCTGTCAGGCTGTGATCTAAGCACAAGCTAGTTGCTCCGTTTCAGCTGGCAGCYGCTGCCAGAAAATAGAGCAGCATAAAAATAAGAGGAAAAACATCAGAGGATGAGAAACATTAAAGCAAATTGACTGTGGCCTGGGAGATGTRCTTAGCACAGTGGTTTTGATACATTGCGCTGGTATCACATATACGTATGCAGCTTCACCATAAAGATAATTGGGAATTCATGCACGGAGCTCCCCAGATTTGTTTCACAGGCGGGTCCCAGTACAAGCAGAGGCCAACCTGATTGCACAGCGGCTGGGACGTGCCCCTCATCACCCCGCGCAGCTGCAGCTCGTGCCTTCGTCAGTGCAAGGCGTTAACGCCACAGGCAAACCCTACCCTACATATTAAACGAGGGAAAGCGAGTTAAGGAGCACTAGTCCCTCATACATTGGCAGCACCAGTGCTAGCAAGAGACTGCAAATACTCAGGCATTGATGGCAATATGATGAAGGGGTTGTTCTGGTTTGTTCGTTGCTATATAAAGTACATAACTACAGCAAACATAGGTATGTACCCATATCTGCATTTTTAAGTTTTACCTGTTTTTATCCAGAAATAATGGGTCGGTGGAACTGGTTTCAAGGGAAACAGGATGGGGCTCTACTCCAGAGCTGTAAAGATGTGTGACTCTGGGTGTGAATAAATCATGAGAGTGAACGTTGTCTGTCGGCAGCGCGCCTGCTCTGCCGCTGCACGAACAAGCTGCGTTCGGAAAGCTGGAGAGGGAATCACGGAAAAAGTTTTCTTACTCTCAGACCACTTTCAGAGCAGACCTCTCTCTTTTTTTAATGCCATTTTTAGGGACTCGGATACCTTTAATCCTCTAGTGGTGGCAGGCTCTCTTTACTGACTTTGGAGGCATGGAACAGCAGTGCCTTCTCCAATTCCCACTCGCCAAATTAAAGGACAGGTTGTTTTCCTGCTGTTGCAAGCACTCTGTCAGCTCGAAGCATGGGAACAAAGCAGTTTTTGCCTGCTTCGTGTGTCTCCCTGTTACTGCTCAGCCTCTAAGGCCTGATGCAGCTATTGTTTAGGGTAAAGTATGAATCAAATGGAATACAATTTGATTTTTCAAAGGCGATGTTAACTGTAGATCAAAAATGGCATTGAAGTCACAGGACGAGAGGCAGAGAGATGCCACGTTCAGCTTCAGCAGTCCTTTGCACAGAGCCTCTCTCTCTCATCACACACAGCTACTGAAGGGCTGCCTGTTTTGTGTTTTAATCCTCGCTCTGCCTCCCCACGGTGTTTCCAGCAGCTGCAAATTGGGACCAAGTTTTGCGAAGGAGCCGGCTGCTTCCTCTGCACACGCGCCAGGAGCACACCTTGCATTTGGAGACGCTCTCCAAAAGGGTGACGATGACTGAAAACTTCAGGAAATACACACAGGCCAGTGAGAACACACCCCTGTTGCAGCTCTGATTCGAAGCCCGCTCAAGTCGAGATGTATTTCCCACTGATTTTGGTTGGGTTTTGAGCAGGGCTGCAGCTGGGTGCAGCCAGGCGCTCGAGCACGTGCTCGTCGCCAAGCACAGGGAGATACCAGTCTCGTGCATTAGGCTGGTACCAGCATTTGCTGCTGMTGGTGCTCCTGTCCTCAAGGGTCTGTCAGTGTTTGTGCCCAAAACRGGCCCGTTTCCACAGATGTGTAACTTGGCCGTAGGCGTTTGCTCCGAGCTTAAGAAATTGAGAAGCAGAATGGAGCCATTTCCAGATGTTGGCGGGGGCAGAGGGTGTTACCAACCCATTCGTCCCTCTCTGGCTTCCACCATGGGGAGCAGCTGTGTTTGCTGGTTCCCAGCACTTACGTGCCGCTGTAGCTAAAGGAAATGCTTATATTTAAAAAATGCAGTTTTAGGGGCTGCTTACCCAGAAAGGCAATACCCGGGATATAAGAAGCAACTGTTTTTATGCACAGCTTCCAGCTTTACGGCAGGCCGCTCCGTGTGCGGGGCGCGCRGCCGCGAGGAGGCCGCGCCGTAGGGAAGGCAGCGGCTGCCCCTGCGCCAAAGCGGGACAATGAGTGCGGCCGGAGCGAGCGCGGCCGGCCACGTCGCGTGGCCCGTGTGCCCCAATTGGCTCTGTGTCGTGGGCTCTGACGGAACCGGCTGGATGCTAATGGATCTACCTGCAGGGTGCTCTCCGTCACAGGGAAGCACATCAGTAGAAGATCTTCTTCCAACATTTTCTTTGTAATATATTACAGAAACAGGCAAATGAAATGAAATTAGAGTCTTGTTAACAGTTTCACTTCAACCCGTGGAAGGAGGGCTGACCTCAGCACCGAGGTGGAAATTTCTGCATTCAACTCCTGCTCCTGGCAAACTCCTCCGTTTCTCCACCTGTACATTGGAAATAACAAATTTATTCACTGTAGAGTTACTCTTAAGGTATAGGTTCAGGTCACTTTGAGTTCTAAATATGAATTTAGGAAACACAGAGAGGTGACCCAAAAGCCATCACTCACCCTGGCTGCTGTTTAAGGCTGCCAGCAATGCTTTAATTTATTGGAAGTGCTACGTGCCAGCGCACAGGGTGTGGGACATACTTGGCACTGTTTTCTTCCTTTAGTGGGTTTAAGGGAACTTTTTTAACCTAATGTGAATGTAGTTTGTTGTGATTTTATATGTACTACGGTTTGAAGTGGTACCATTTCTCTTTTTTTTTTTAGGGCTGATTATTTGATGCTACAATAACATGGGAGGTGTATGTGTAGGCTTAAAACGAGTGGAGAACAATGGCTTTAAGGCACCCGAGCGGAGGTAGCGGCCAGACAGCGCGTTCTTGTTGAACGTGTGCCCCTTCCTTCCTGTATGTGTGTCCTGAGACTGCCCCATACACTGAGACCTGCTTCACGMCGTGAAGTGTTTCCTGCAGGCCGATGCTCATGATCCAGGCCAGCATGGGTGAGCTGCAGTGAAGTGAGGCGCTGCTGARACAGATGGTTCCCCTGGAATTCAGGTTTTCCCAGGCCCTGCGACGCTCGGAGCCTTGTCAGTCCGCGCAGTCGTTCCGCTGGGCATCCCATGGGACATCCCTGTACAGTGGCTGGGGCTGGGTAGGGTGTTGCTGAGGGCTTGCACAGYCCGGGCATGAGCTGAGGACCCACTTTGAGCGGCAGGTTGGCTGGTGCCAGGTTGGGACGAGGGGCCTCGGCCCGCGCTGCCGTGCATAAGAGAGGCTGATGATGCTCCAGGGGAGAATTCCCAACGGAACCGCAGAGCCGCCCAGGAAGAGCTCTCGGCAAAGGATGTGGGTRCATTTTTAGCGTGCCTGATTTCCCCCCTCACACCCTTGGAGGAAACGGGGAGCACCTCAGGCCGACGTTTTTGCACTCTGTGGTGCCTTATTTGCTCGCCAGACTGGGGTGGCCGCAGGAGCAGACGCAYGGAGGTTCCCACGAGCTTTTCCTGGCTCTCTCGCAGGATGTCCCATAGGAGAGAGAAGGGCAGTGCAGTGCCCAGGGTGCGAGYGGGACAGAGCCAGCGGCAGCGGCCGTTTGGACACATGCCAGTTAGGAAATGGATTTGGGGCCCTGGACCCATCCAGTCACTTCACAGAGGGCACTGAGCTGCTAAGGACGGTAACGATTTTAGGTCATTACAAAATAGGGCCTGCCCTGATTCATGTCCTGGGGTTAAAAGCTTATCTAGCCCCTTAATGATGTTTGAGCTGCTCAGACCCCCTCCTATTCCACAGAGGTTTCTGAGAGACGCTGGAGCGTCACAGAAATTTGCAGCACAGACTGTGCTAAAAGTTGTATTTCCGAGGMGATAAAAAATTGCATTTCCGCGGCGATAGCTTGGAGTGCAGCCCACAACATGTTAYGGATTGAAACAGCAGGGCTGGCGGCGTTACCGCTCTGTGCTGGTGCTTGGTCCTGCTGGCACGCGGCGTTCCCGCGGCAGTGGYGCCTCCGCGGCCGGCAGGGAATTCTGGCCCTGATAGCACCAGGGTGCTCATGCCTGCGCGGCCCAGCCACATGCGAGATTTCCTCTGTGGTTTTTAACCATACAAGCTGGAAAAAAAAAAGAACAAGTAATTAGGAAATACGTCTGTCTCTTCCCTCAAAGCGCCACAATTACCCCTMCCTGTTTTCCCCAGGTGTCTGCTCTGCAGATTGGATTGAGAGTTGTACTATAATGAGTAATTTTATATTCGAATGGTTTACTGGGCATGATTTGTTTTGTACATATTGGAATATGTTTTAACTTATTTTTTATTGCCCCTTTTCATCTTAAGAGTTTTTTTTTAAGAAAAAGGCGACACCCCCTTCCCCAATGTGAAGTTCCTCTGTGTTTCTGTGTGGACGGCCAGGAATACACACAACAGCCACAGCATTTGTCCCCGGTCCTTACTGGTATCTGATTTGACCTTAGAGGCATCTGCTTTAGTCTGAGGCTTGGCTCCCGTTGCCTCCTTTCCCTCTGCTGCACGAGCTGCACAGGGAAGGGCGGCGGGAGCAGGGCTTCCCTTTCCTGCCTCCCTCCTTCCTCGTGTGCTCCACGTAGCAAGGGGCTTTGTTCTTGGGTTCCGGGGGTTGTGTGACTGAGGGGAAAGAAGCAAAAACCTGTTACTCCCCCTGCCCAGCTTCACCCCTGCGCACTGCAGATCAAACAGATCCGGCTTCTCGGCAAGCGACGGCGGCTGGAGCCCTTCCAGGCGCTGGATATGTCTGGTTTGCACCTTGTGTTCATGTCAGGAACCTACACACAACAAAAAATGAAACTTAAACTCGAACCAAGTAATAACGCAAAGGTTTATATATTTATTTATGTCATCTTACAACAACAGAA